TGCTCCGGATTTTGGGGTGTAAGGACCGACACGATATCTAACTGTGGTATGATCGTTTGTAGACGGTTTAATGTTTTGTCGAGGAGATGTAAGTGGTCGGGAAGCTATCGAAATGTGAGGCATGGAGTTCTATCTCTACTTGGATTTTACTTTCAGCGACCTATTGAATTGTTAGGTTTGTGAAGCAGATAAAGGTCTACTTTGAAATCAGTCAAATCTTAACCAGCGCAGTATTTCAGCATGTACTTTTCAAAAGATCCTTTTACATGCGGAAAAGTTTACTTACAAAATAAAAACGGATCATCTTTTTTCTCTTCATATATTTCGTACTTCACTTTGACGTACTAAGCCATCTAGAATGAAGGAAAAAGGAATATACAGGTGTTAAAGGCTATACTATGCGTATTTTTCTAAATAATTCTGAATAGTGAATTTGTAAAAATATTGGAAATTACTTAAGTTGGTTTTCTTCTTTCTTCGATTACTTGTAGACTAATATTCAGGCGTTGGTTTGCAAAGATTTGATTGGTTACAGGATTTCATCATGAGCTAGCCAGTGGTTTAATGGTCTACGAAATCGTCTGGTAACCAGAAGGTCCTAGGTTCGAACCCTAGCAGTGCGGAGGGTGAGTACCACTGAAGAGTCCCAAAGTAGACTGACAAAACAAATGTTCAGTACTCCCTGCTGGTTTTCCAATGGTTCTCTAACCGATTTCAGCTCATGATGAGTTCCTGTAACCAATCAAATTAAATCCTTGCTAACCGAAACTTGAATATTAAGGTGTTTCTTACTAGCGACTGGCTCTATTCAGGTAGGTAGTTAACTGAGTTCTAGTGGGAAGTCGTGACCAGCTGGATACAGCAGGTTGGGTGTGAGGACAAATACTCTCCAGCGATGATACTGGCTAGTGCTGGTAGTGCTATCTTATGAACTGGCAGAAGTTGGAATTGTAGATTACTTTAGAACTCGGTTACCGATAACCGGGGTACTGAAGAAAACTGAAGAAAAAGTACAATGTAATAACCGCACCACTTGGCTTTATAATCTGGAGAAAAGTTCAACTGCGGATGTAGACGTGTCGTTAAATGGTGAGGCGTGGAGTTCTGCGGCCCAAAAAAACCTGTGTGGGTGGGATTCATAGGCTTTAGTAAATGACATTCAATCAGTTTGTTCTGTATAAGAATCCCGCTTTGCTTACTCCACTCTAACTATGGTCCGCAAATAAGGTATGACACAAACTTATCCGGCTGATAAGTACTTTGGATCAAATAATGAACGCTTAGTAGAAAAAAGGAGCACTAGATTGCTGTTTTGTCTTAGCTCAAGACTCTTCAGTTGTGCAGTTCGTGAATATGCTCAGCACTGAGTTCATATGACTAAAACACGGTTGCAGCAGAGAAAATTTTCTTTTAGACGAAGTCATCAACTAGGAGGCTGTACATTCGTGTATATTTATGATAAATGGGTGGGAAAATTCCAGAATAATTCCCGGTCAACTGTCAAATTAATAAAATTACAATTAGGAATTGAAATGCCATAATAAACAGGGGGACGGATAAAACTCAAACAAAGTAGCATCATAATTACTGAGGAGATTGGCATATTGTGCATTTGGGGGCTAGAAATGTAGAAATAATAAAAATAGAGAGGATGTTTGGATAAAAAACAAAGAACATTCCCTGCTGCATCCCTGAGAATAGCCTTTTCTAGTCGACCATTATTGTTCAATAACCTGAAGGACAAGATCCCGCTGTTGACCAACTCTATGTGTTTTTATCAATTCACCTGCTCGTATGGAGCTAGGTATATCGGTCGTTCTACACGAGTTTTGTCCAAGAGGGTGCAAGAACACTATCTTGCATGGTTACGAAAAGTTGGAAGTGGAGCAATAAGAAGCGCGATCATTGAACATCTGGTCGATAATGATCACCCTATCTCTATAGCCTCAGCCTTCAAAGTCATCTACAAGGCAAAGAGTAATTTACCCAAATCCCTACGTACCCGGCTCATCTGTATTGCTGAAGCCATCTTTGGCTATCGAAACAGAAAAGCCAGATCTCTGTGTACAGAAAAAGTTCGTTCAACCCCTCCAACTTTCATGGTCCTAATCCCTCTATGCTAAAGTATGGTAATCCCCAATCATATTTTAGCTCCACCAAATTTTTCATTTTTTCATTTTTGTCTATTCAATTTGTATACTCTTCCTTTATTACGTCAATTTTTACTATTATTATTATTATTCTCACTTCAAATTGTCCCCGGTATTATTTCACCCGTTCCACTTGTCATTTTAAATCAATTCGGTTTCGCAACGTTAAATTCTATGTTATCGAATTTCACACAATTTTACGTAACGTTTTTATTTTATTCGATTTGTCTACTAATCTTATAATTGCACATCTTCTTCAAGTTCTATCCATCCTATGAATTATTCTATATATGACATTAATTTGCTTTGCCACTTGACATTTAACTACGATTATAATCACAAACATTTTAGTTTTGATTGCATTTCATACTACTACTATTATTATTATTTTATGCATTCACACCTATGTTTCAATTCCCTCAGCGGATATAACTTCTTAAAAACCATATATATATATATATATATACGATTGTACAGCTTGATGATAAATTCGTTGAAAAGAGCCTCTTCGCTGAATCATTTGTTTTGATTTTCTATATGTTACAATGGGAATTTTCCATGATTTAAAAAACAATCTAGTGGTATCATAACTGATGTGACGAATAATTGTTTATGCAATCAGGGATTAAATATGGAGAAATAATAAAATGACAAAATAGGCAGGAAGTTCGGATAAGAAAGGCAATGGAATGGTCACTACTAGAAGAATTACCTGTTTATGATGGCTATGGCAGGGACAAGCGTTGGACGTGTTTCCACTGGATACATAGCGTGGGTTTGAGCTTTTGGATAGCTAGTGCCTCGGTTATGCCCAGATGTCTTAATTTCACTCTTTTAGTAATGACCATCTCATTGCCTTTCTTATCTAAACTTCCTGCCTATTTTTGTTATTTCTACATTTCTAGCCCCCAATTGCACAATATATCAATCTTCTCAGTAATCATGATGCTACTTTGTTTGAGTTTTATCCGTCCCTCCCCCAACTCGTTTATTATGGCATTTTAATTCCTAATTGTAATTTTATTAATTTAACCCTTAACCGGAAATTATTCTGGAACTTTCCCACTCATTTATCATAAATATACACGAATGTACAGCCTCCTAGTTGATGACTTCGTCGAAAAGAAAATTTTCTTCTCTGCAACCGCCTTTTTAATAATTCCTATGATCCAACGTGTATATCCCGTGAGTTTATATTAGTTATGTTCTCATAACTGGTATTAGCAATTCGACTACTAGATCAAAATCTAAGGAATCATGATATACAACTTTTAGAAATTCATGAAACAGAAACGATGCTTTTAAAAATGATACCTTTTTGTGCTGTGAGTGCATAGATAATGTTGATGAGTGGAAACACCTTCGTTTTCGATAAAACTGTGAATAACTTAGGTTCAGGACATTGTCTACCCTGATCTTCTCATATATTTCAACCCGAATTGTATTGAAATGAGAAACCTGAGCAAAGGATTAGCGTCTCTTATTCACATGCAACGAGAAAGTGTTTATATATGTGTAAAACTTGGGCACTGTGGTAGTAAGTAATTCATATTAGTTTGTTTATTAGATGTATCACACAGTGAAACAGTATTATTATTTACTAGATGACGTTTCGAACAAAATTTACTGTTCATAGTCATCTCATCAATTATAGTCACAGGACTTCGAAACTTGAGTTTTATAGTTTTCTTTGTCCTCTTCTATTTATCATAGGGGTAGTAGAATTTTCTAGATATCTGGGACAGGTGTTGAATCATTCCTGTTACATGTATTTGCAGTTGATTCGATAAACAAAGCTTCTGTTATCAATCTCCCCCTCTATTCACCCTGTGACATTAGATTTTTAAACTGTCATCTTATCCCATCCTATTGTATGATTGTGTGTAACTGCATGTAGTGCTATAGCTGAACTATTCTCTAGATTTTTTATCTTATTCGGGTCAACCAATCTGGATTTTGCTAGGCTTTTATATTCAGCTAGTCTGACTGCCCCTGTTCTACTAGTTTGACCTATGTATTTGACCTGACAATCATTGCAGGGTATGAGATAAACTAAATTGTTTTGTTTTTAAGGCTTCACAGGATCCACCATTTAACCGACAATACTTGTTTCTAAATAAGTTTGTGGGCAGTTTGAATGCCAGCCACTTTTATTCCTGCCTTGTTAAGAATTCTGCGTAAGGCTTCCGAGGTTGCTTCCTTGTATGGAATTACTACTGATGATTTAGATTCTTTATTATTGGTGTCGTCATTAATATTATTATTATTATCACTATTATCATTATTATTGTTATTATCACTATCGCTACTGTCATTATTTATTTTATTTTTACATTTCCTTACATATTTCTTGACTAATTTATCCGGGTAATTAATAAGTTTCAAAGCTTCTTTTATGTGTATCAGTTCCTGTTTTAGATTTTATGTGGTACTACTTAGTTTTTGTGCTCTGTCATTTAAACATTTCACCAATCCTATTTGACTTTGGATTGTTGACTTCATCATTCTGAGATGAAACGAAATGTCATCCAGTAAATAATACTGTTTCACTGTGTGATATATCTAATAGAGAAAGTGTTTAATTGACTGGAGTTTAATTATACTTTAGTCAGAATCTAGTTGTGAGGCCTGCTGATAATAAGTAGTTATGTAAGCTGAATTAAGTGAGGAGGGACTCGAACCCTGGGCCTAATGTAGTTAGAAATCGATTGTTTAAGCTCGTGAGGTGATCACTGGTCATTTGAATTCTGAGCCTATAACATGACAAACTGCTGTCATGAATGTTTTCTTCAATTAAATATTATCTTAAGCACACACACACACACAGAAAGAACCAGCGAACCAGCTTACATTCCCCAATTGTATTTCTCACTAACAGTCTAGGCTCCATATAAATGCACAAGACTTCTAATTTTTCACCTTCACGTATATCCAGTAGACCAGCTTCACGTAAATCCAATGAATTTTTCAGCAGTTCTGATGTTTTGGGATCTTCTAACCAACTACTTGGATTTGAACCTTTGAATCCAAATAAGCCTTCACCACCAACACCACCAAGACAGCTGCCATCATTATCCTCGTCATCATCATTATCTTTGTGGAGAAGTTTCTCATGATGTAGATTATCATTAGAATTGTTAGTAAAATTATCTTGACTAGTAGTTGTCAGTAATTCATGATTGAGTATACTCGATTCTTGTGACCAGCCTTTGCTGAAGATTAAATGAGGTAAAGGTCGAATTGGTTGTCTTGTACAAGTCTTCGACGCTTGAACAACGCTTTTCACTGTTTCCTCAGGATTTACCTATGAATAAAAATAAGGATTAGAATATTTATATATATATATATATATATATCCCTTGATTAGACTAAATTCTATTAACAAGAAGAGATGATGGAACTGCGAAGAGAATCATCCACTGAAAACCAACTTGGAATGGCCAACTAACGGACTTCTATAGTTGGATACCTTTGAGCTGGAAACGAGCTCTCATCATTGCATTAACCCACCGCATTAGAAAAATCTGCAGCAGTGATTGCTTGGTAGAGGAGCTCCTATTCCGCAAAAATATCCTGTCTCGAAATGGTCACCCAGCACGTTTTGTCGACAAGAACATGAAACCAAAACCAAAAAGAGAAGAATCCAGTTCAGCAACGAAGAAAACTCTGTACATGAATCTGAAATTCAGGGGAGATTTGGCAGCTGATATCCTAAAGAAAACCATCCCTGCAGCAACACTAAGAGTGACATTCTCTAGCCGTCCAATACCTCTAGACAATGCAAAGGACAAACTGTCATATATGACCAATTCAATGTGCATATACCAGTTCACCTGCTGGTGCGGAGCTAAGTACATAGGTCGTTGTATGCGTGTCCCTTCAAAACGTATCAGGGAACATTACCCAGCATGGCTGCAAAGAGGAGGCACCAGCTCAATCAGAAGTGCTATAATTGAACATCTGATCAACACCTCCCACAGCACCTCAACTGATTCATTCAAAATCATTTACAAAGTAAACAGAAACCTACCAAAGGCAGTATGTTTTCGACTTCTTTGTACTGCAGGGGACTTCTCAATGTGCATCGAAAAGCCGGAGCTGTGTGTTCAAAAGAAACTAGTCCAACCTTTACAACTCCCATGGACCTAGTTCGGCGTGTTCCCTTAGCCTTGGGTTCATTGTTTTGTTCTCTGTGTGTGTGATTTTTCTCTCCCTGTCTTCATTCGACTCATCCCATTTTTTCAGTTGTAAGAACAGTTGTTTTAAGTTTGTTTCCATGTTCCGCCTGTTCACACTTGTAAGTCGTTTAGAATAACTATTTTACACTTATATTCTTATCCTGTGTAATTCTTGTTTCTAAGCCTCTTGTAATTTATGCTCACAACTCCTAACTTCCATTTCAGGTTGAAAATTATAATTTCAATTCGTTTCCATACTCATTTTCTTCACATTAGTACGTGGCATCACTGAGGAAGCCTGCGTGGAAGAACATTGGAACTCTCTAAAAGCGAGAGAGAGAGAAGGAAGAGACACGACAAAGAATGGCTCTCAACGGATACCTGGAAGCTAATCGAGGAGAGGAGGATGGTGAAGGAGAAGATGACTCAATGCAAAGATGGAAAACAGAAGAAGAAGCTGTGTTCAGTGTACATTGCACTGAATAAAGAAGTGTAGAAGAGTGCTAGAAAAGAAAAACGACAATTCTGCGACACACTGGCTGGCAGCTGAAGCAGAACAGACTAGCCGCAGGCAAACGAGACATCAGGACACTAAATCAGATAATCAGGTATCTATCCGGGAAGAGATCAACGCAGATGATAAAACCAATAAAAGATGTTCAAGGGAACCAAACTATCAAGGAGGATAAACAAATAAAACAATGAATGGGCTGATCACTTTAAAATACTTTTGAGTCGACCATCACCTGCAAGTCGCTCAGAAGTACCACCAACAGCAAACACAGAACTGCCAGTGGACACCAATCCGCCAAAGAAAAAAGAAATCTTGAATGAGATCAAGCTACTCCAGACGGAATTCATCCTCTCTTTCATTCGATTATGTAACGCCAAAAAATTCAATTGTGTATGATTGTTATTACCATTGTATGCATATATTGATTTTTTGTTTAAACTTGAACTCTCTGTGGGTAAGTATGTTAAAATTGTAAACTTAATAATAATGGCTTTAGGCTGTAAGCAGCTGATGAGAAGCCAACGAAATAAACAGTGATGGTACCATTTTAGTCTGCGCAAACGACTGTTGTTGTTATTGCTTTATTCAAATTCATAAAGGGCAGGGAATAAATATTTATGAAGTTTCTGGAAAAAAATCCCGCATTTTGTTTTATCCAATTACGAACACAGTAAAAAAAAACCCCACTTAACTTACATGTAATGCACAAGTGTACTTTGCTATTTTAGGCAGTTCCTTCTTTTCAAATAAATCAATAATATTGTATTTAATTTGTTTGAATTTCTTATTTGATTGCGATTTTATTGAAAGATGACTTGTTGAACCGAACAGTGAACAAGAATCTTTAAAGCTACTCTAAAATTTAATTGTTAGGCAAAATCAGACAAGAAAGAATTAGAAGAATTTAGAAACCAAATCAAGAAAACTTTTTAAAAATAAAAGAATCTTATTGGTTGTTGACCACTGTAACTTATCAATGTAATTAGCGTCTGTCAAGGTCATTCAGAGTATATGTATATATATGCAATCTCTGTCAACAATTTTTGTTGTTGATATGGGGACGGTAAAAGCTCTCTACTTCAACGGTCGGTCTTCTCAAGTCGCGGTTTCGGTGATATCGTATCGCGTCATTGTCACTACTATTAGTGATTAGAATAGAAGACTGGTGAGTTAAAAACAACCCTATTTTGCGTTCGAGAGTTAAAATTAAACTACTTAATTTCGCCTTTGCTATGTATATCTCTCACAATTTGGCTGCTCCTGTGGAGCCAGTTACATAGGCCGTACAATTAGGCGCGTTTATCGTTGCATTTCCGAACATCATCCTGCGTGGTTGGTCAAGTAAAGGACAAACAAAATCCATTCATAGCTCTATTTTATCTCATATCGTGGATACAGAGCACAAATTTAGTGTAAGCAAAGCCTTCAAAGCCATCTATCGCATACCAAATAATCTTAACTTTACCTCCAGAGTTCTGCTATCGTACACTGCTGAAGGTGTTGTGATCTACATCAAGAAACCTGACTTGTGTATCCAAAAAAAGAAGTTAGTTCAGACACTGTCCTTACCCCCTGGTCATCAAGGTCTTAATGATCCCCAGTTTGATGTGAAAATTTCCTTAATTTTATTTGATATTCTATTTACCATTACATTTTTATGCTTATTATAACTTATGCAGCTTTCTTGAACTATGGTAATTCCATTGTGATTTAATAAATCGATAATATTAAGACGGAACGCCATTATTGTTGATGATGACTATTCTAGAGTATTCCACGTGCATATATTTGATTGGACACTAGTCAGTAACTAGTGTAATGTGTGTGTCTAACCCTATCTTTGGCTCAGCCTGAATTCTATCAGTTAAGTTTGTAATTTGGTCACCATGCCACACTAGGTGGCTAGTCATCATGGTGCACTGCATTGTGAATTGTTGATATTAAATGTTTGGGGGCTATCGGTCACAGGAAGCCTTGCCTGACCTAGGTTTCGTGCTGGTCAGCACTCATCAGCAAGGCGTAGCTGCAACTGCCTTGAAGGAACTCATGTCCCTTCTGAGATTTGAACCAACAATTCACAGTGCACCATGATGGCGAGCCACCAAGTGTGGCAGGGTGACCTAATTGCACTCTGTGCCAAAGATAGGACTAGACACACACCTTACACTAGTCACTGACTAGTCTCCATTCAAAAGAATGTGCAGTACAGTCCTGAAGGAGGTCAGTCGCGAGCCTGAGTATCTCAGAGATAACGTCTCTCTCTCTGACTGCAGTACTGAGTAGTGACGCGGGTTCGAATCTCAGGAGAGACATGAATTCCTTCAAGGCAGTTGCAACTCCGCCTTGCTGATGAGTGCCAACTAGCAAGAAAGCTCAATTAGGCGAGGCTTCCTGCCGACTGCCTCCAACTATCTACTATATATATGCATATAATTGTAGAGTCAGAAGAGGAAATTATCAAAGAAAGGGTATTCATTGCTGAAATTTGTTCTCTAAAAGAAATAATTTTAAGGTTCTACTTACTTTAGATTGTAATCTTGAAGAATTCGGTTGCAAATAATCACATCTTCTGGTTAAACTTTGTCTTGACTCTTTCTCATCAAGTTTATCACAAAATTTATTGGTATAATTAATGAAAGCCCCATCTACCTGTATGCAATGCATACACATAAAAACACATTACCTCAAGGGAAGGCTTAATTAAATAAAATTTCATACATATATATATATATATATTACTGTGTAAAAGCCAATTAGGGATGAAAGCGATAATTTTCATAATCTGCAATGATTGTAAGTTAAGCGGTCAATTGGAGATAGTCGGCGTGAACCCTTGGATGTCGAACTCATACTTATATGAAGTCATCAACAAGACAGTATAAGCAGACTCAAAACAGATGTTCGTCGCTGTGAGTTTCTAGTGTGCTTCACTCAAAATAGTAGCAAAAAAATACCTTGTCGTCAAGTTCATTTAAGGGTGATGCCAAACTTATGTTGGTGTAGAATAAACACACTGATTGGTTGCTGGCCAGTCACCAAGATCCTGATGCATAGCGATAGCTGATCTCCTAACTTCCGTTACCAGGCAGTGAGCCTGACAGACTAAGCAACATAACAAAAACACAATTGCTTTATACTAGATTAAACAAAACTCAATATCTAACCCGTATATAGACAGTACAGATCACTTTACTTTCTCAGCATAAATTCAAAATATTGATATAAGAATAAAACTTGGGCACTGTGGTAGAGTGTAATTCCATTATGGGTAAATTTTATTTTGATAGAGTCTCACAGTGTTATACAGTAATATTTACTGATGACGTTTCCAGCACAATTTATTGCTCATATCATATCATAATCATATCATATCACCGACCACGGATGTGTTGCGGGGTTCAATCCCTGGCCACTGGACGCACTCCTTTACCTTGCTCGCTAAGTCAGTAATAAGACTGGTAAAGAGGGAAGGTTGGGTATGAAACTAGCAGGCCCATCCCGTGAAAATAAATACCGCTGCTACTGAAACTTTGAGTTTCCAGATTGAAGCCCCCTATGTTCCACCACTAGGAACGTAAAGGAGTAAAAAAACACATAGTGATCAGCCAAAGTACCTACAACACATAATTCATCCTGGACACTATTTTAAATTCATAACATTACACTAGATAATAAAGTTATATAAATATGAAAATGAGAAGGTAAAGTCGATAGAAGCTGCTTCCTTACTTTATAGTCTTGATTTTTATCGCATTTTTCAGTAATCAATGTTCTCTCTTTATTCAGCACTTTCGCTGTACTATATCCAGGAGTTGTTAGATGATTACTGAATTGCGTAACCAAAGAATTCACCTTCTTATCAGTGATTACTCGAAATGAAGCACCAAATCTATTGATCTTTTAAAGAAATAACAAATGAAGGAAAAAACAAGTGAATAGCCCAGTGTTTAAAATAAAAAAAATTCAGGTGTCCAATTAACAAGCTGATATCAGTGAAGGATAAAACTTTGAGGTACTTCCATATTCATTCAGAATGTAGCTTAAAAATCTCCATTGAGTCATATGAAAAAGAGAAGACGTTCATCAGCGAAGCGACTCTTTTCCACGGCTAATTCATGCACATATCTGTACAATCTCTTTTATATATAATTATTTGTGTGTGTGTGTGTGTACATGAGGTTTGTCAAGTTTAGATAATTAATCAGGTAATACAAGGATGATCTAATATGGAAACAAGGTTAATTAGACAGCAACTAAAGTAAGATTGAGTTAGTAAGTCAGATGACGTAACATAATTGACTAAAATGTTTCAACTTAGGTCAGGATAGCAAAAGGGTTAATTACAAGTAGAGACTAAGTAGAAGTGGGGTATAGGATAACGCCATTTAAATTAGGACCAAAGTTGGGCAAATAAATTGGATGATGTAACATAAGTGACTAGAAATTGAGCGTTGCTCAAGTCAGTAACACTGATAATGAAGTGTAGAAATTAAATCGGGTGGGGGTGGAGAACAGGAAAGTTGAAAAAAGAAAGAAATAGAATTTACCTGTCGGGTATTAAGACAGATTACGTCCATTGCAAGTGCAGCGATTGAACGAAATTCTTCTCTATGCAGAGTTCAGGGTTTAGCAAGTGAATTACCATTGCTTCTGCAGTTTGAAGAAGTTTGACTCGTACACTTTTAGGAAGACTGCGTTGTATTCTGCAGACGACTTTGAAGTTTGTTTGCGGTGTAGCTTGGTGTCCGGAATCTATCAGATGTTCTAAGATAGAGCTGCGAGGGCATCGTTTTTCTCTTTTGTAAAACCATGGTGGTAAGTCTTCGGTGATACGTTTGGATAGCGAACTCTGGGTACGGCCGACATACATGGCTCCACACGAGCAGGTGAATTGATATTTGTACATTGATGAGGCACGCAGCAGTGGTAGCTTATCCTTCACGTTCATACGAATCATAGGTTTTGTGGAGAAAGTTAGTCGTAGTTCAGCTGCGAAGAAGGTTTTCCTAAGTGAACGGGACAGTCGATTTTTCAGTGTTTCCGCAGATAAATCTCCATTGAATTGAAGGTTCATGTAGGGGAGATTTTTCAGGACGCCAAGCATGGGCAGATTTTGCCGTCTAGGATTCATGGATTTTGTAATAAATCATTCTGGAAAACAATTCTCATTCAGAATGTATTAATTTTGCCATTATTATCTGGTATATTTCAAAATTCATCACTATTTATGTGGTACGTTGAAAGACTAGGTTGATTGAGATAGTTTATGAAATATTAGAGTATATAGTAAGTACAATACTTCAGTGACGTTTAGAAACATCAAATCTAAGAAGTCCGCGCGATTTAAACGGAATTAGAGATGTTTCAAGCAATTTTCTCCCCTCTTGAGACCCCGAAATACAAACGTTTTCATCGCAACACGAATCCTTCTGTATTATTTGCAGGATTTCACCATGCGATAACATTGGTCAGAGGACCATTAGAAAACCAGCTGGGAATACTACCAGACAGCCGTTTCGTCTGCCCACTTTGGGACTCTTCATCAGTACGCATCCACCCTACTACGAGGGTATAAACACACATCCATCCGGTTACAATGCAAGCTAGCTCGAAGAGCATTCAGTGCGACTGGCACTAGCCATTGTCATCTCTGGCGAGTATTTGTCCTCACACCCGATCTGCTGCACCTCAGTGGTCACCATTTCCTATTATTTCTTGATTTATGGGCGTTTTCCTCCTGAAGCGGGTATCATGCAAACACATATTCTTACTTAGGGTCCTGTACTTTAAAATCCATGATTTCATGAGGTAAAATTTCATATCAGACATTTGCTCACATTCAACTTCGTGTTGAAGACGTTGTCAAAATGGATAATGAAAGCTTCTTGATTAAATCATCCACTTTTGAAAACACAGTGATACTAAATATACTCACTCTTTCAATTTTCATTCTTTTTCCAGATTTCGAACTCTAGAAAGTTTGAAAACTTTTACAAATCAGGCTAGATTACAGTCTACGAACAGTTGAGATGTATTTCTGACTTCTAAAATGTTGGTCTACCATTATTATTCATCAGTAACTGCTCCCTTTTCTGAATAGTTGATGCAAAAAGACAGATAAGTTCATCTCAGTTGAATGAGCATTAGTGTTCTCTATGTGAGACCTAGAAGTCTTCGTAGCTGTTGCCAGCGGGTTCATCATTGTAGCAAGAAACGAAAATCCGGCACAATTTGTTTTAGAAAGATTCTCCGACTGACATTAATTTCGAAACCCATCAGTTCTACACGCAGCATTTTGTTGGATAGTCCCTCATTTCTCAATGTATTTTGTATGCTTGATTTGTGAATAGGAATGACAGGCATTCGATATCGAGTGACGTTTCCTTCATCATCTCTTATCCTCATTGGTCCATAATGGCATCAGGAGGGATACATCTTTTAGGTTCTATATATTTTCCATTTATTCGATTAAGATGTTGCTTGCTCATTGTGGTCGTGTATTATGCGCTCATGTACTGTCTATGTTATATACAGTAAGAAGATTGTATAGTCAGAATGGATTCATCAGAGACCAATAAGTAACTACAAATAACGACGACCACAAACTAGCTCTATCTCAGAAACAGTGATTATAACATTTCTATTATAATTAATGTGCGATGGTGGCATAGCGGTTAGGACGCTCGCCGACCATGCACATGGTCCGGGGTTTGATCCCCGACCGACGCACTCCTTTACCTCACTAAGCCAGAAATAATTCTGGTGAAGAGGAAAGGTTGGGCATGAGGCTAGCAAACCCATCCTGTAAAATAAACACTGCTACAGAAACTTCAAGCCACCAGCTTGAAGCCGCCCTATGTTTTACTGGGGAACGTGAAGGGAAAAAAATTAGAATTAATACTGAAAGCGAACTGGGTTATCCAAGTGAAACACTGAAAAATAGTGTAGCCTTTCGGATTACCCAATTCGTGGAAGTATCATGGAATACGAGAACTTGAACAGAAGCATCTATGGACAAAAACCTCTAATTCCATTATGGAGAAATTATTTATTTTGATAAAGTCTTACGGTGTTATACAGTAATATTGACTAATAACCACGTTCCGAACACAATTTATTACTCCAGCCCATATTCATATCATATCAAGTTACTCACAAAGCTTTATAACTTCGTTTTTAAAACTCAATTAATTTTAATCTCTCGGTTTGATTTGTAGGGGTGATTTCCGTGTCTCTGGTATTGGTGATGAGGGGTTCATATCGCGTGTGTTGTGTGTGGATTATTCGATGAACTAAGACTCAGTAATCAATCTCTCTCTCTCTCTCCACCTACCTATATTACTTTCTAGAATTTTGACTCTGTCCCACTCTATTGTGTGGTTGTGTGTTAATGCATGCAGTGCGACTGCTGATCTTTTCTCTAAATTACTCATCTGTCTTCGCGAGCTAACTCATTCTAACCTTAGCTAAATTCTTATGTTCTGATAATCTGACTACTCCCGATCTACTAGTTTGACTAATTTAGTTGACCTCATTCACAGTCATTACAAGGTATCTTGGATATTATATTATTTTGTCTAATTGGGTCAAGCCACAGAGTCCTTTAACCTACAGCGCTTGTCCTGCCTGAGGGAGTTTGTAGGTTTAAATACCACCATCCTAATTCCTGCTTTATTAAGAATCCTACAAGTAGGGTCCGAGATGTCCCCTCTTTATATGGCGAAACTACTGTAGATGCCTTATATTCTCTCTTATTTATGTTATCATTATTAATTTCACCATTATTTTGTTTTTGACCTTTTTGGATCTTCCTAAAGAATTTTATAGGATAGTTAGTTATTTAACACACACGCACACTTAACTAATCCTGCCTTCACAGATAATGGATGGGATGAATTAAAGTCTTAATATCTATTACATAAACGAAGTCAGAAAGTTGTGTGAGTAATACCTTAATATGATATGATTATGAATGGCAATAAGTTATGCTCGAGACGTAGTCATCAGTAAATATTTCTGCGTAATACTGTGAGACTTTATCCGATTAGGAATCTTCTCCATAATGGAATTATACTGTACCATAGTGCCCATGTTCTATTCGAATATCAAGAGCCTCTAATGTTTTCGTGTCTTACAATTTCAGCAGCAATTTTTCACGGAACACACCGATGTATTCTTTTTGATGAATAGTAGAATATTACAACTGTGTCAAAGACGACACAGTCTTAAAGCGCTGAAATGAGCCTTTTGTATTTCATCAAATATCACCAATTTTACAGATCACACTGAATAATTGATTAAACGATTGAGTGATAAAACAAATAAGGTATACTTACCATATTTAACTTTTTCCCAGGTGGTTTCGGTTTCTTTACTGGTTGATTACATTGATCTGTTGTTTGGTTTATCGATTTATGCTCATCATCAACAAGTTCATACAATTCTTCTGAACAAACTGAATTAGGAGCTTGTGGCAAGGGGACAAACTTGAATGGCATACGTTTCGTTAAAAAAACAAAACAAAATTACATTGTGAATAAGTGACATATTGTTAAGCGCATACTTATATTATAATAAAGATAAATGTGGTGCAACTTTCCATTGATACTCCTATGCTAAACTGGGAGATTTCTTTATCATATATGAGAGAAAAGTATCCCCTGTAACACTTTTATACAGTTTTCATGCATTTTTTCATAAATATATGTATTCCATACTCGAAAATGGCGCCCCACGAAGGGCACTTCGAACAAACTACAAACCCTCTTCAAACAGCTGTCCTCGCTCAATATACTACTCAAGGTCAGATGGCCGGCCAGAAAAGATCAGCAACAGGGATCTCCGGCAAAGAACGAACCAACCCAGCACGAACCGATTCTGCAAAAAATATGCAGGAACATATCATAGAAACAGGACAGAGAATTGATGTTTCCACACGTATTTTAAACCTATCTATAGAACGTGTTTGGGGTGTGGAGTATACTAAAGTTTGTAAAATCCCTCGCTGGCAATAAGGAAGTCTGAACCACCTTTATACAATCAAAGCAACAATTCGTCATCACGCTGAACCATCTTTCTTGGTAAACTTTGTTTTGATACCATCGCAGACGTACTATTTTGATGAGAGCTGTTTGCAAGCCAAAATTGTAAACAACAATTTACGTCAGTGTTTACGTCCCGAATCGGCGTCATGAGAGAAAAGAATAACAAAGCTTAACCTTGAGGAACTCACCAACCAATCACAGCAGACTTAATGTGTGCAGATACGATTCGCAGATACATAGCTTAACTTTCTAAGAAACGGTCACAAGCAGTACAGAATAACCTTCAGCACGAAAACAACCAATCAGAAGACGTTGCTTCTCCGCTGACAATAATGTGCATAAAAATCTATAAATATCTGTTGATTTTCTCAATAAACGATCTGTTGTCTGGCCCTTCTCTCCTGTGGTTACTCCATTACCTCTCTTATTTAGTTTAGCGATGATCTTCATTGTTATTTTGACCTTCAATATATCCTTTTAACTCGACCTAAGTCTATTTTCTCACCTCTTAACTCTTTATTAATTTCATATATATTCCCATGACAAGTCCGTGTGTGATCAGATTGTTTGAAATGTGTTGCGCAAATACAAATTACACAATTCAGACAAATTACGTCTTCGCATTGCTTTGTCTTAATCCATAAGTCTAGCTTAAAGGAATCTAACGAGCAAGTTTGTATTTTTATCGCTAGGCTAAGGAGATACAACACTGAAGTTGACTAGCGACACATGTAATCAAATTCGCGATTTTCTAATCACACTCAGATAGCGGGTAAAAGTAGCCTTGTTTTTCTTTGGAAACCCCTACACATTCCAATCACATATATCGTGATCTGTGTCATTTACAAAAAGTAGTTCGTTCTGTACCAGTTAACTTTATTTCTCTTGAATCCCTGAAACAATCTGGAGACTAATGGAGTTTCACAGCGGTTCGCATCACTAATTGATATCAGTTGGAGAACTGCTGAAAAAGAAGCCGTTTAATTCTAGTTTATAGGATTTTCAGTTCTCTTCTCCCTTGACGCTGTAAGGAGATTGAGACCACGAACTTCAATTTAAGAAGTTGGCCGGATAATGAATCCAAAACCAAAAATTTATATATCAACCCAATAATACCATCAGCGTGCAACAACCATCATTCTTGAACTGTCCAGTGCAACAATGTTTTGGCTGGTTTCATATTTTTATTACATATAAGTAAACTAGAAACGTGAAACCAGTTTGGAAATCTTCTGCACTCAGCTGGCATAAAGAACAAGATTCGGATTTTCGACACCAATGTCAAGTAGGTCCTTCTATGCGGGTCAGAAACTTGCACTGAGTGTCACGAAAAGGATTTCCAACAGGTTCCAGACTTTTATCAACAGCTGCCTTCGATGTCTGGCTCCATACTGAAAATCAAATGGCCAGAAAGAATAAGCGACAAGAAACCATGACAATAAACCAATCAAGAGCCGATCACTCAACAAATATGTAGGAGAAAATGGAGATGGATTGATCGGGCACACATTGAGGAGGCCGCCGAATGACATCGCATGCAATGCAGGCCATCGCCCAAGTGGAATCCTAATGATAATCGACGAGTGGGTCGTCAGTGTGAGGGTGACATTGAGGAGATCGTGTGATATGCAGGAGATGAGACACTATGGGCTATCGTGGACCCAGCCGACTGAAGAGGACGGCAGAAAACAGAACAAAGAGGGGAGATGTGTTGTTGAAGCCCTATGTTCCACTCGGAACGCAAGGGAATAATAAATAAATAATAAATTTGATTAGCATTCTGTAGAATTTTTAAACAGTCCAAGGAAACATCAGAAATGCAGTCAGGGAATTTCTACAAGCCTGGTACTCCAATGAATCAGAGATTAACATGAACATTACTATTATACACCAAACTTACCAACTAATAAAAAAAAATAAATCACCTGACAAGAAAGTTTAAATTTCAAGCCAATAGGAATGACCAATAGAGACGAAAATTAACAAAGTACGAATGACGACAAAGGTTGTCAGTAGGGAGATACAATCATGTCATCATCATTTATGGAGGATTCAAATAAGTCCATTTTGTACTAAAGTCTGTGTTGAAGCGATGTTGTCTAGACGGGGTAGGGTACAACGAAAGCTTCACAATTAAGTCAGCCAGCTCAGACAGAGAACACACCTAAATCAAAATGTTTCTTTATACCAGTTTCATTTACAAACTGTTTTCATCAATATTTATGTATCCCACTTAACTTACTTAAATATATATCGAATAACTAAAATTATTTAACACATAAGATGCGAAAAAAGGAGTCAATTCCAAGTCTGTTCTTGAAAACAATGATGGAAACAACTGACTTTAATCAACACAAAAACAACGACGTCAACAGAGAAAAACAGAGTTGTTGATTGTTGTCAGTCAGTACAGTATGGCTAGACATTTTATTTCACTTAATTTAACTAACCATCAATAAGGTAAATTCTGATCTATTGATGTTGTATTACCTGTATAAATATAGACTGTTTCATGATGCCAGACAGTCAATTTCACCTTTAGGCATAAATCTGACCTAAACAAACTGATTAGCTCTCACGAGGTGTGCAACATAGATGGCACTGAAATAGAAACCAAATCGGAAATTAAATACCTAGGCGTCATTCTATCTGCTGATCTTTCCTGGCCATCTCATATCTTGACGATTTCTAAGAAAATATTCCGTCTTACCTTCTACATCAAGAAGTTAAGACATTCTGGTATTACCCAACCCTTACTCCTACAATTCGTTAACTCTCGCATTCTGCCTATTATTCTCTATTGTTCCCCCTTAGTTTTTCCCGGGCTACTGAAGAAAGACTATACCTTATTACACAGGATGTTAAAGGTTGTCAGCAGGGTAAGCAACGTGCCACTTAACCAGCTTGCTAATACTCTGGTTGACAGGCACATGGACTCATGTGAAAAATGGGCCAAATCCATTTTATCTAACTCACACCACCCTCTTCACTCACAACTCTCCCCCTGCATCTCATCAGGTAAAACCAGAAGCCAATATAGAAAACTATATGCTCGCACCAGCAAGTACAAAAACTCAACCATACCCTACTTAGCTCGTGTTCTGTGTGATAAAGAAAGCATTAGGCGTGACACCTATAATTCATTAAATAGTCAGTAGTACAACTGGATCTCGTCTTTCCAATTCATATCATTTATAGGTACAACATTTTCTTTCTTTCTTTTCCTTTTCTCTCCCTCTCTTTTTTTCCGTTATGTGCTGCTTTGTTTCTTTCTCTCGCTTACGCCAGTAAATATGACAGCTCCTACTTTTCTAACACCTTCAAACACTGTTCAGCTTTACCTTTGCTACCGACATGCCAATATGTTGTTGTCATAATGAACTGAGATTTCCTTAATCTATGTAGAATTTTATTTATTGATAATGTACTAACTGGATGCAATAGTGTAGAAAAAATGCTGAGAATTCCATTCTGTATCACATGTACTGTTTTGGAATAAAGCAAATTATTATTATTATTATTATTCACATTACGATAGAATCTACCAGGTATTTCGTAAGCTTCATGGATATTCATGTCTATTAAAGCATGCATGTTAATAACAATGCACCTATACTAGTAATGGTATACGCTCTAGCTCGCCTTGTAACCAGTAGGTCATGGGATTGAACCACAGTGGGCTGGGTGTCCACTGATGAAGTGTCCCAAACTAGGATGAAACAGCTGGCTGTCCAGTAATCCCAGCTAGGTTTTCCAATGGTTCTCTAACCAATGTCAGCTCATGATGAAATCCTCCAACCAATCAAACAAAAATCCCTACAAAAAAACAAAACTTAAAATAAAGATCATATTCATTGAAGATTTAACGACTGGAAAAACTTCTTCGGTGTGCAGAGTTGAGGATTACCACCATTTCTGATTCTGCTCCGTTTGAAGAAGTTTGATTCACTGTACTTTTTAAGGGAGATTCCCACGTATTATGTAGATAACAACTTTGAAGTCCCTTTGTAGCTGTGTTAGCTCGGTCTCCAGATTTGAGCTGTGGCATGGTAGAGGGATCTTCTTTCTCCTTTATAAAACAATGAGGATAGGTTTTCAATGACACATATGGATAGAAAACTCTGGGTATGGCCAACATACCTAACACCACACAAGCAGGTGAATTGAAAGTTGTACATTGATGAGGCAGCTAACAGTGGTGACTTATCCTTCACGTTCATGCAAGTAGTTGGTCTCGTAGGGAAAGTTAACAGTAGTTCAGCCACGAAGAAGGTTTTCTTCACTATTTCTGCTGATGGGCCTCCGATGGATTGTAGATTCACGTAGAGAGGTTATTTTTATGAGTCGAAAGTGTGGGTGGTTTTAGAGATTCAGGCTTCATGTATTTTGTAATGAAACGTTCCACGTAGCCATTTTTGAGGAGGATTCTTTCCAGAGAATTC